AACTATCAGGGCTTGAGCAATCTCGAGGTCTTTAAAAGTTATGGGATTTTCGGATATTGACTCATTCTGATTGATTGCATTGAACCTGGGAAAATCATCACCAGGAAGTTTGGAATAACTGCGATACTTCGCTATGAGATTGCGCAGAGATTCGGGGTCGCCGCTGTTCGAATTTCTGACTGATGGCAGCTCTTGCCGCAAGATAGAGGGAATAACCCTGCGGGTGTTCGAAAGCATAAAATGCCCCAGCAGTGGCGACAGCCAAAAGAAGCGGAGAAGACATATCATTTGGCGACGTCGTCGGTAAGTGAAGAAACGGTAAATGTGGATCAAAGCCGCGCAAATAATTTGACAGATATCGAGAAAATGCAGATCGGCCTGGAAACTAATATCCACTTGGCTTTGCGTCTGTCAGCTTCTTGACTTTGACTGAAAACCTCTCATAAGCCTGCGCAGATATCGTCCAAGTTCGATCTTCCACTTATTGTCAGAGAGATAAGTCTTGTATAGAAATAGATCAACCTGGTCATTTGGCTTATCCCAGTGGGTGCCTGTGTATGGTGCTTCCCCTGTTTTCTGCTGGGCTATTGGAAAAGTCTCAAGATCCCTAGTCGGGATTAGAATGTCTGTCGAATTTGCGTGGAGTATGTCATTAATGTAATATTCACCACATATACCTTGCTCAGCCGGCGGGAATTGGTGATAAAGAGACGACAGGGCGATATCAAGGTAATTGTTGTTTGTGATTTCGCCCAAGGAGAAGTCAAAGCCTAGGGAGAAACATTGGATGTTATCGGATATTCCATTCGTCATTCCTATACTGCCATCGACCTGATAATTCTCGCTGATATGGTTTCTTGTGTTGACTGAGGGTTCTTGAAATAAAAAGTCTTCCATGAAATCATCTCGAAGATAATAACCCGGTGGATCTAATCAAAATGGGGGACTGGATGTGCCTGAAGTCCTGCCACCCTGTGCAGTTTCACTGGGAAACCCTGATGCCCCGTTTTCTAAAGTGGACAGCGAGCGCTGCTGGGGATCGGCCACGAAAATGAAAGGCGTCGGAGTAGCAAGCTGCATGGGACCAGCAATGGATTTATTCAGTTGGTGATCTTCGAGTAGTTCTTGGTCAGTTTGTCCCCAGTGTGCAAGTCGGGTGTGGCGACCAAGTAAGCCCCTACATCAGGTCAGGAGATGAACCTGGGTAGTAGGGAAGAAATGTCGCACTGTCTGGAAAATATCTTCCCGCGGAAGCATTTAAAGGGTCGTTCCTGAGTATCTTTAGGAATATAAATGTTAGAAACATGGGCGGGTGGACTGAAACGTTTATGACATACGAGTGTGTAGATGACGTTTAAGGTGCTCCTGTCGCTTGAAATGTCTATCGAAAAATTTGCAGGGTGGTACAAGGAGCTTCGGTCGGCCTTTCATGACAGAAGTGTGATGGAAAAAGGTAGTAACAAACTCAATTGACTCGATTGACTCAAATCTCATTTTGGTGAGTTAGTAAGATCGACTCCTATTACCTGGGTAATCGACCTTTTATAGGTTCCTGTATTTTTTACCGCGCTGAATTCAAGTACATCAAGTTTACGGCTCATACTATTTTATAAGCAGAACCGTCAAATAAAAGCAATTATCGAGCCCAAGAATCCTCACAAGGCATCATTCTAGCTTCTAATGTAGCCTCAACACCTCGCGCTAACTCCAAAAGATGCTGCTCTTGATACTCCAGCCCGAGAAGCTCAAGACCAACGGGTAGCCCGTCTTGTGTGAATCCTGCTGGCACACTAATAGCTGGCAGACATGTCTGGCTCGAGAGGAATGTGTTCGTAGGAAACTTCGATGTTTCAATCCGGCCGTTCGTGGCATCTTCAAATCGCGGCGGAGGGATTTGAAGATCAGGAAACACTAACGCGTCTAGGCCAAGGGATGCGATGAGACAGTTTATTTTTCGCTTGAGTTCATCTCGTGCCAATAAACGACTCGCGTATGTGGGTTCCGTGGTCGGGTCCTCAGGGCCATGGGCAGCAGCACTCAAAAGGTCTAGATAAGGCTTGTTGGGCGTCCGCGGCACAATCTCCGCAATGTCTGCTGGCAGATGGGGCTTTGTAGCAAGGAAGGTGTTGATATCGGTACGGGATCTGACGCGGTATGTTTGACTATAGATCATGTAGTGTCTTAAATCCTCGATGTTCACATCCACAAAAGTCACACCAATGCTTTTCAGCTTTTCAAATGCGCTAGCGATGACTCCATTCACGGCCCGACAACTGAGATCATCATCGGAACCGAAGAGCTGTCTCACAACTCCAACTTTTGCTTTTCGAATCTTTTCCCGTCCATTCTCGAGGAAGGCTGTATAGCTTCCTCCTTTAGGAAGTCCCATGGCGGCGGCAGTCGCCGCTAGGCCGGTGAAATCATCTTCAGGATCAAACCCGACCATGCAATCAAGCATTGAAGCACAGTCCCAAACGCTTCTTGCCATAGGACCTGGTGTATCTTGTGTCTTGATCAATGGACAAAACCCGGTTCGGGAAATAAGACCAGGGGTCGGCCGGATGCCAACAAGGTTGCAGAATGACGAAGGCACTCTTATAGAGCCCCTAGTATCCTCACCAACTGCTAGAATTGCAAAGTTGGCGGCTAGAGCTGCTGCAGAGCCACCAGAAGATGCACCGACATCGTGAGCGAGGCTGTATGGGTTCTTGGTGAATTCGTAACCGGTCGCACCGTTCGCACTGAACCAGCAGCAAGCCCACTCTGAGGTCGTGGTCTTGCCAAGTATCACAGCTCCAGCTTCCTTCAATTTAGTAATGACAAACGCATCCTTTTCGGGAACATTGTCTAGTGCCACAGCAGAACCATATGTCGTCACTATTTCCTTGGTGTCGGCCTAATGTGAGGCATCAGCTCTATGGTACTTTTCTTTATATGCCCCAGTGTTTGTTTACCTGATCTTTGACCACGACTGGAATGCCGTGAAGTTTGCCTTTGAATTTGCCAGTGTTCTTAAAATACCGATCCAACTGAGCTGCCTCTTCGAGGGCCGTATTCGACAAAGCCATCATAGCGTTGATTCGAGGGCCGACTTTATCAAATGCCTCAATGCGTTGAAGGAAGGCCCCAACCAGATCTGTCACAGTGAAGTCACCTCGCTTGATCCCCTCGTGGGCTTGCGTAATACTCATTTCTTGAAGTACAACCATGTTGAAAACTTTGGATAATTGGTATGATAGCGGATCGATTTTGTGTAGGGTAGCAAGTCTTGGTACATTCGAACACTTGTGAAATTGTGATTTTCATTCCCTTGATAATAAACACACATTCTTATGGCAAACGCTGCTGCGTATCTTGTATTTGTAATACCTGGTCGTTGCAGCTGAGGCATTATTGCTATTGATCCATGAAATCCCAGCGGACTAAATTCCGCATACGCGACAAATAATTTGCTTATGCTTTGGTGGCGGGGCCTCCACGGAACGATTAGCCCCAGAATGCTATTCTCGAAGGTTAAACCATAAATTTCGGAGCTAAAGATGAGCCGTCACTTGCTTAGATGGCCGACCCGGGCTATTCTCCCAATAGGTGCGTGCTTCTACTTATCAGGCCACTAAGTGGGCTTCTATGGGATAGTCAAACTATAATTGATCCAGAACTCTCTCTTAAACCTTATAAAATCCCGTCTGACTAACAAAGTCTTTTCTGTAGCAACCCTATAGGGAAGCAACGATTGATTTGGAATCCGGCACTTAGTGCATCTCCGGCGGGAATACCCGGGACTTTAGAGCTTATGTGCGGGGTCGATAGGATTCCTGAGGTTCTGGTAGGTAACCACATTTCACCAAGTGGAGAAGAACGTTCACCAGGACTGGGTTGACCTCGCCAAACGCGGGTTCGGGCGGGTTTGGCAAGACTTATGACTGGGTTAGCCCAATGGCCCACGTGAGTTGAGGTTTTTTTTTAAAAACACACCTCGTCAGCCATTATTGACCGACTTATTCCTTACAAGATAATACGGAAGAATTCAACGACAACCAAGAATGAACCCCTCGGCTCTGCAGAGAATCAGCATTCGATGGCTGCCCGAGTCAGCCTATGAGGATACCGAAACAATCGCTCTCAACGTTGGAGGCTACTTTGTTGATTTGAGGTTAAACAAAAACGATGCCACCATCCAATGGAGTCGAGCTGGAGAAAGAATTCTACTCCAAAGTCACCCCGGTAAATTATCCCTGCCGCCTACTCGTATCCTTGCACCTATTCTGAGACTACCTGGTCTCCTAGCAACCTTCCGATGGACCCATATCATAGACTCGCTAGATCTAACCATTCCCGATGAGGCTTACTTCAAAAAACTGCCAAATGGGGATGATCTAGAAATTGGAACTACGCCTTGCCCTTTCAAAGACGGTGTTCCGACTGACTATGAAGAGGTGTGGAGAGATGTTACTTCGACGGATCCAGGAGATATGTGCTGGATTCTACAGAGTGCTGATGGTATAACATTTTTGGGAAGGGTCGGGTCGAATTATCTGGCTATTCAAAAAGAGATAAACGGTGGATTTGCTGCTCGAAAAGAAGATTGGCTTGCTTCCGATGGCTGGCAAGTCTCCTTCGATAGTGATGCCCAACCCAACCTTCCTTTGGCAACCGCTGCAATTGAAGCGATGAGACAGAGAGATTCAAACATGGCTGCAGGGGATAAAATCGATGTTTTAGGTCGACAGTATGTAATTAGAGGCGTACAGAGGACTTGAGCCATATTTCCATGATGTCAGCTTCTAGTTCTTGGGTGGTATGCACGGAGCATCTCAGGATAGTTTTCGAACAGCCTCCGAATGGGGGCGTTCATGACCAATGGATTAAAGTTTTTATTACGAGACCAAGCGTTGGGGTAATTGTCGTGCATCCGACTGGCTGGAAACCACCGCTTACCTCGGAGATTCATAAAGAGGCTGGATATCCCCGGCTCGGATCCTTGTATCTTTTCGCCTTGCATGTCTCATGCGAAAGAACACAGACGAGTGTACCAGGTATGTGGGCCTTGACTCCTTAACCCCCCGCATTTTCCCCTCTGTAGATCCACTGACTCTGTGCCCAGGCTTGTGAGCCTTGTAGAGAGAAGAAAGTGCGCTGTGAGTTGGGATCGGCTGATTGTCCGAATAAACCACCTTGTGCGCGATGCCGCAGAGAGAGCAAACAATGTTTCTTTGCCGCCTCGCGGATAAGGAAGACTGCCAATCGGAAAGCCCAACCTCTTTCGCGAAAGCCCAGGTCTCAACCTGCGACTTTCTTTCCTGATTCGACACCTGTGCCTCATAACAATATTACTCCTCTACAAGAAGAGAGCCAAACATTTACGGGAGATGGACGTGCTGCAGCTGCTTTGCTTGAGGGTCACCCCCGAACCTATCATGACGCATTGACATTGCTATCAGAGGCGTGTGATCACAGTGAGGCTCAAAAGGGGTCGACTGATGGCCCACCAACCAGCCCTCACTCAGGCTTCAACCCGAATCCCACCGACTCACCGCTTGGCATTCATACCGCTAATAGCAACAATAAAGGCACCAATGAGGCCCTTCGCGCCTGGTCAAACCTACGCTTTGCCCGTGGCGGGCTTTTCACAGCAGAGGAAGCGCTGGACATGGTGGATCATTTCTACAAGTTCCAGTCTGCCTTCTCGCCAGTTGTGCCGGAATACTTTCGATGTCATTCCCAACACCCGACGCTGATGGAGGAGGAAACCGTCTTGACAATCACCATATTGATGATTGGGTCGCGATACCGAAAGTGGACAGGACCAGCTGCGGTCGCGCGTTCCTATATCGTTCATGATCGCATTTGGAGATATCTACAGGGGATGATTTCAGGATTGTTTTGGTTAGAGGATCTGTTCGTGGGTGAATTCCCTTCTCTCAAAGGGCCACGACTGGCATACACAGACAGTTGGTCGCAACGGGTTCCGCACGTTGGGAACGTGCGAGGCATTGTTATTGTTGCTGGATTGGCATCCTCGGGCTCTCCACTTTTTGCCCCCCGATGAGGATACGTCGTCGATCGTGATCCCGGAGCCAAAGAGACCGCGCCAGAGTCCTGGTACTGCCGGAGTTTACGGGCCTGGGTCCGGACATGACTGGCTCGCTCGATCGGATCGGTTGTGCCACTCCATGCTTTCCACTGTTTTGATGCTGGCAACCGAGATGGGAATTTTCTCCGAGGATAATTCTTTTTGGCAAGATGAAGCTGGCAACGACCATCTGAAGATAGTTAGTGACCACGAGAGATTTCACCGTATACGGTGCTTGATATGGGTTTACGCGACCCAGCAACCGGGTCGACCAGGTATACACTTCTTCAGCAAACAGGTCCCATGCGACGCTTTTGAAAGATTCAAGCTAACGAAGAACATGGAATATTGTAGGACGAAGAAACCCGACCCCATGCACTACCATAAAAAGCCCCGGCATTAGGAATGACGATGCAACGGAATCCTGGATGCGCGTCGCAACTATCATGAAGAATGCAAACGACCTTCTCTTCGTCTCACCGGGACATACAGGAGAAATAATTCGCAATGGACAGTACCTTCGAATTGTTCGCAGCCTTGGGCCACTTCTAAACGAATCACTCATCGAGTTTGACCATGCCAAGTGTATGTACCAACCATCCCATTGTGTGAATTAACGCTCATTCGAGTCTAGTGGCCAAGCAGACCCGCTATATCTTGAATATTGGGTACGAGTATGCCCAGCTCTGTATCTTCAGTCTCGCTTTACAGGCTGCAATCAATCGAAATCTCCGTGACGGTGCAAGTGGCAGACCGGAGAGCTGTTCACGAGGTGCTTCAACGGAAGAAGAGAAGCATCTAAGGGGAATTGTTACAGCCGCCCAGACTATACTAAGAACGGTCCTCGATGATCTACTTCCCCATGGAAGTCTGACCTATATTCCCGTTCGATCATACTCCAGGCTTCTCGGTGCAGCTTTGACTCTTCTCAAGGTAAGTCGCTCGTCATTTGTCTGTTCCTTTCTCCTTTTTCTTTTCTTCTCATGCTAAAGCGTGGGATTAGTGCTGCGCCGCTGGCATCAACGAGATCGATATACCCACTTCCCTTGATCTAGTCTGGCGAGTCGCTGTTGGTCTTCGCAACTCCGCGGTCGATGATACTCACTTAAGTACGCGCTGGGGTGATCTTCTCGAAACCCTCGCTAGTCGGCTAGAATCGCGCCTGGCCCAACCAACCACACCCAAAGCGTGTAATGTGAGATTCCCATCGTTAGCAACCCCGTCAAAAGATCACCCGGACGTATCTCAGGTCTCCCATGATACACAGCCATCGACAATACATTATGTCCCTCAAGATATACAAGTTAGTGCTGATCTTGGACACATTGATTTTTTGGATCTGAACCGATCAAGTTCAGGAGATGCTAAATGTGACACGCAGTTTGATGCCTGGTCGATGTGGTGGGATGATCAATTCTCCCAGGTGAACCTCAATTACATGCCTTGGTTTCCAACTTTGGGGCTAGTGGGTGGAAGTGATCCCCAGTTCTCAAATGATGCCGGTGATGGCATTTTTGAAAGTACTGGCCCACCTCATTGAGCATTGATTTACATTCCGTCTAGAAAGTCTGACGGCATAGTTGAATATTCCTTTGCTGCCATCTTTCTATAGCTTTTTATACACCTTCTATCCCTCTTCCTAAGGGTCCTTTTTTCGGGTCTTTTCTAGCATTCTTTATAGTATAGCGGCTCATGATTCCTTATTATCGGTGTAGTGGAATGCTTTCAACAAGAGGTGTTTCCAGGCTTTTTAAACACAATTTAGCATCGCCAAGGAACACGTATATCTGCTGCTTGTATATACCAAACCAAGTCATTCCCCTTTAAACCAACTGTGGCTCCATTATGTAAATTTTTCTTTTCATTTTCCTTCGACAAGAGACCTCTCATGTCTTAGATCCGCTTGCCTTTGCCCACCATTTTCTGGCATCTTCAAATACCAGATTGAACAGTGCGTTTGGTCGCACGCAAGTCTTGTGTGACGACTGCTTATTATTGATTTTACAACGGTCTCATATCTGTGGGTCTTAAACTGCAGGCAAATAGAACCTCTCGGGTTAATGGAGTCGGCACGCCCCGGATAGTGCAGGAAAGCGGCTTGATTCCGAGCCGGGTCAGCTCCAAAATGTGGACCTAGTATTAACACGTACGAGTGAAGCAAATAAAGTAGACACGTATTGCAAGATCTAGAATGCTTAATTTTGATTGACGGATGGGTTTATTTTGTTTTCTTCGTTATCTTCACGATTTCAAAAGACTTCCACGCCAGCACACCACGGAACATCCCTCACACTCTCGTTACTGCCACTCTCACTCATAAACAATCTACCGACAGTTTCTAGGTGCCATCATGGGACCTATCCAGCACAAGGCCCTAATCAACGTTGATCTGGGAGAGGGTTTTGGAAATTGGACAATCACTTCGGATGAAGACTTGCTTCCATTCATTGACCATGCCAATATTGCTTGTGGTTTCCATGCTTCGTATGTCTTTCTATTTTTCCTATGTCAAACTCCCACAATTGGAACAGTCGATCAGTCGCTAGAAATATTACGCGAAACAATCTCACCAGCATGGTAGCTTTGGCTCACGCATATCTCTTCGGGTAGTGACCCCCTTATCATGATGGAGGCCGTTCGCAGCTGCAAAGAACACGGCGTGAAAATTGGAGCACACCCCGGTGTGCCAGATCTCCAGGGCTTTGGGCGTTATGAAATGAAACTTTCACAGGACGAACTTACTGCAATCACTATTTACCAGATTGGTGCACTCAAGGGGTTCTTAGACCGGGAGGAAGTCCTCCTTCATCACGTCAAGCCCCACGGATCGCTCTATGAAATGTGCTGCAGAGACTATGAGACTTCGATGGCCGTTTTTAAGGCTATCCCCAAGGGTGTCAAAGTGTTTGGGCTTCCAGGTACTTGTATGGAACAAGCCGCTAAAGATTTAGGACTCTAGTTCGTCGCGGAGTTTTATGCGGATGTCAAGTACAATGCGGATGCTTCTCTCTTGGTCGAGCGCAAAAAGAAGTGAGTGCTTCATTCTTGTTTTTTCTTCCCCTGATATCTAATGTTGTCTTTGTTTCACTGCTGCAGGGCTTGGGATCTTGCCGAGGTCCGAAGAGGTGTCACACAGCAGATAGAAACATGTACTTCTTTTGCAATCGATGGATCAGCCTGTGACCTGCCTGTCAAGGATTACCCCATTTCCATTTGTTGTCATTCCGACGTTCCTGGGTGTCTGGAGTTGGTGAGGGAGACAAAGGTGTTGTCGACACCCTTAATAAGGCGTACTTCCCCAACAACTAGACATATACATAATTGAATAGTCAATGGATTAAACAAATTTGTGACTGTTATACTTGTATTATCTGATCCTGACAAACATATTTCTGTTAATGTTTTCTATCATTCCGTCCCGCGCTCTTTTTTTCAGTCACGATACACCAACTGGTGCAAACCATTAGAGCTTCATAGTATTAAATGTACCCCAAATTCCCCAACACAAGTGACCCCAAATGGCCAGTGAATTCTGATTGGCTACAGCTCAGATACCGGGAAACGTCGTTTGGAGTCGAACCGAAAGAAGAGGTAATCCGATTGGACGGCTCTGTCTTAGCTAACATCTTATCAAATAAACTCTTGATATCAACTCAATGCGGGGTAAAGGAAAGCTAGGGCTCCACTCGCGATAATGACTTGACTACGTGAGTTCTTATTCTGTAGCTAGCCAAGGCAGCTCAGCAGCGCGACTTGATTTGAAAGGAGCTTCAGGCCAGTCTTCCCCGAGTAAATAACCTTACTCGCTTTCTCATCTCCGGTCGTGGTATAAATCCTTCATTTCCACTCCCTACTATTTCTTGTCATACTCCCAGAATTCAGTTGAAGTATCAATTTCGCTTTAATTATGAGCCACTACAAAATCACAGACACGGCAGATCTCGCCATGCAGTCCAGCGTGGATCCCGAATACCCAAAGACTGAAGTAATCGAAGAGAGTCAAAGAGAGGTTTTCAACCACGAGAAATACCGTTCTCTGGGATGGTGAGATTCTGTAGTGTTGATTTTTGAGTCATAAGTCTCTGACTGCAAATTTACAGGATCCAAACAACTGTCATTCTTGTCAAATTATGTTTCGCAACTGGTGTTCTTGCAATTCCATATGCATTTCAAGTCGTGGGATACGCACCGGGGATAATTTTGCTGATATTCTGGGGCGCACTGGCTACATGTGCGAGCTGAATTCTACGTACCTTCCCTTGTATTAGCTAACCGTGACATCTAGACTACGCACACATAATGTTTCGCTTTCGAATGAGATACCACGGTGTGCACAGCATTGCGGATGCGGCGGGGATCATGGGAGGGCCCATTGCTCGTGATATTACCGCTGGCCTCTTCTTGCTGACTTGGATGTAGGTTGTCTTGCGTTGGGCTGAGAAGCTCTCTGGCTGACGAATACCAGATTGGCAACTGGTTCTAGTCTCATCGGATTGTCTCAGGGATTCAAGACACTTGCTAGCAATCATGTTTGCACTGTTCTGTGGACATTGGCTGCTGCTGTGTGTGCCGCATTAGTGGCTAGTATTAAAACGTTAGGAAGGCTGGCAGTGCTGACGTGGATTGGACTGACATCGATCTTTATCGCTGTTTTTATCGTTGTGTAAGATGAAGTCTCTGAGTATCGATTGAGTCCGAGCTAATAAAAATTTCTACTAGAGTCGGGGTTACACAAGTGGATAGACCTGCTGCTGCTCCACTAGAAGGACCATACGAGCTGAAGGTGATGGCTGTCGGATCACCAGCCTTTGTTGCTGGGCTTACTGCGGCTATTAACTTATTTGGTAAGTCATACACACATGAAGGCACTAGCATCATTTTAATAGATGATAGCTGGATACGGGGCCACTCCGACCTTCATGCCGGTTATCTCCGAAATGAAATCTCCGAAATCTTTCAGCAAATCTCTTTTCTCATCCCAGGGATTTCTGGTAATTTGTTACGTCTCATTTGCAATTGTGGTTTATCTGTATGCGGCAATCACCCCTGGCTGAGTGAATTTGTTCTGATTTCCCTAGGTTCTGCGGGCAATATGTCGCAAGTCCATCGCTAGGCAGCGCAGGGGGCACAATCGAAAAGATTGCTTATGGAATTTCAATTCCTGGCTTCATTATGACATCTACCCTCTGGGTTCATCTAGCGTCAAAATTTGTTCGTGATGTGAACTCAGTCAAGAAGCTCATGGCTGATATTTTTAGCTCCTCGTGCGAATCCTGCGGAACTCCAAGCACTTGTAAGATAATAGCATCACCCACTGGACTGTTTGGCTGTGAGTGGTGTCTGAATTCGAACATGAATAGCCTAATTCCGACATATAACTGATAACTTGGCTAGAGGATCGACAATCGGCATCAGCTCTCTTGCTTTTATCATTGCCGAGGCTGTGCCCTTCTTCGGTTATCTTATTGGCCTTATTGGCTCCCTTTGCTGTGCTCCAACATGCGTAAGTACGAGAATAAAGAAAGAAGATTATATCTAACCAAGGAAAACAGTTGATCATCCCTGCTCTTATGGGCCTCTACATGTACTCCGAGGACAACAGTCATGGTATTATGTCAAAGGCAATTTGTGGTCTTCATATATTTACAGTACTACTTGGGTCTTTCTTAACGATTGCTGGTACTTACACAGTGGTGCAGAGTGTTATTGACGCATACCAAGCTGGGAACGTGGGAGGGGCTTTCTCGTGTTCATGAGAGGGAATGGTGCTGGTAAGATAATATGTGTCGGATGTAACGAACCTGGCCTACACCGAACCAGGTCACGTGCACCAGGCCCCCATTTCATATATGCTACTACGTGAGAGCTTCTCTCTCTTCTTTTTTTCTCCAGCTTTATTATTTTTGTCTAAATACTACTTGGTTTTCGACCATTTCGAGTTCTCACATTGTAATAAAGCTCTCTACGCCACCTACTGTCGCACAGATCTCTGTTCATCTGAACGCTGACCTCGACACTACGGTTGCGTCTCATCTCTCACTTTCACCCAACACCCCCACGCCAAGACCGACGATCTACGACCCACGATCGATGATCGATAACCGACTGGGTCTCGACTTGATCCAATGCTGTTATCAATAACTCCAAGCATTCTCCATGGTAAGCCGAAGCTTCCCAATCACTGTCATGGGCCAATATCGCATCGTGGCGGGCAGAGAGGGCCAATATCGCTTGGTGCAGATCAGGAACCAAGGCGAACCATCGGAATTAATCCCGAGGTATCTATACGAAGAACCAAGTTAATTGGAAATCAACTTGTTCTTCTCGTTGTATATATATAACCTAATGTTTCCCTGTGAATAACAATACAATTCATGCCTCTGAACTACAACAGGTTATGAGCCCGGGAGCAACTCTCGGATGCCGTCTCTACTCATCCGAGAACCATCTTGATCATCTTCATTATATATCTACCCCGCTTTCACAGCCATCACCATGCCTGCTCTGGTTCACGACTCGCCCGACCGAGCCGTCACGGCCATCGAGCCTCTGACTGGATGACGCGCGCTGTCGCACGCAGCGGCCCTGAAACGAAGACCGGAACGAGAAAATTGGTGACCAGATCAGACTGTCACATTCGTCATGTTTGCACTCCAATTCTCCATAGTGTCCTTTTCAAGGTCCTGCAGTCGGCGCATCTCGTCTAACAATTGAGGATCGGGCTGAAAGCCCAAATCTCCCATTTCAATTTTTCGTAGGAGGTGAAGCCCTCTCAGCGATCGCAGCCGTGACAGCTGCACATACGTGGAGCAGAATTTCTTATGATGATCGTGGCGTCGCTCTTTAGGGTTGACTTTCAGATCGAGAATTGCAGTTGTGAGTGTCGAGCCCTGCACTTTGTAGTCGGTCAAACAGAAAGCGGGGCAGAGTGGCACCTGTTTCCGTCGAACTGAGTAACCTTTTATCGTGATGGATCTCTCTAAAGGAAACACAGGCATGACAGTGGGTTCGAGATGTGTGAATGTGGCAGCCTTCGGCTTATGCGGTCTGAATAGAACACACGCCGGGGGTCTCGTGCACAAGATGTAAAGATCATCAATCTCATAGAACTCAGCTGTGTTGCTGGCTATTAGTATAGTGTTGTCACCCGCAGCCAGGACTAGTAAGTTGAGAAGGACTTGCCAGTCGGGTCGATGACGACTCCTACGGCGGCGCCTGTCGCTCCGTTGACCAGTCCTAGGTGAGTGCAAACGTTGGTTAGTAGTGCCACAGGCATGGCCGGTGAGTACAGGAGCAGGCCTGGAAATGGAATCTTGGTGCCTTGTTCTGGAAGGCCCAGCAGGTCATCGGCGTGCGGTCGCAAATTCGTCGGCCCAGTTGACTTGGTGCGTCTATGGAGCCCGACGAAGGCGAAGATCTTCTGTCCTCGAGACCTTGCAAAATGCTCCATGCGAATGCGGTTTACCTGCTGTCGAGGTGTATTTAGTTTGACTACTATCGTTGTATCCCCCAAGTCAGGAGCAACGAGTGACGTGATTGCTTTAGAATTGAGCAAGTTCAGATCATCTACGGACAAGGTGGCAGTTCGTGCACGGCTGAGAAGGTGTCGGAAGGGTGGGTCTTCTGCCTGCCTCATTTGTTCATCCAGGAGGATTACCTGGTTGAATTGAAGCCAGATCAGCTTGCCATTCTGCTCCTCGTCTTTCCCAATTCTTGGTGTTTTCCACAACGGTGGGCCACGGACAGGCGGAAACTGAAAGAAGTCGCCCATCAGGATCACTACTGGCAGACCGCCAAAGAAGTCGGTGGAACCCCGTTCCAGAGATCGAGCGATTTTACAATGACTATCTATTACGCTGAGCATTCCGAGATCCACCATACTTATCTCGTCCACGATCATAATGGTCTTTCGAGCCCATAGTTTTCGGACACGAGCACCCATTGCTGTACGTCGCGACCGATCTATGGAGATACCAAGTGACGTGTGGCACGTGTTCCCGCCGATATTATCAGCAGCGGCACCCGTTGGGGCCA